TGGGTTTGATCACCTGCAGCGATGGGGACTCACTACCTTCCAATACACCATGGTCTGTTTTATTCTAGCCTTGACTGATTAGAGATTACAGCAGTGCTTGTTGTTGAGTTTCCATCTTGGTCAGAGAAAAACTTTCCTCTAAAAATATATTTACTAGATTATTTTCAGCTTAATTTCAGTGGTACCCAATGGACACAAGAGATACCAGAGGGCTGGGGTTTTGGCTCAGTGGTAGAGTGTTTGCCTAGCATGTGTGAGGCACTGGATTCGATTCTCAGCACCACATATAAATAAATAAATAAAATAAAGGTCCATTGACAACTAAAAAATATTTAAAAAAAATAGATACCAGAGAGGCTAAGTTAGTCAAGATGCCTGCACCATTGCTTGGAAAAAACAAGTCCTTCATTTTGACACTTTTAATTGATAGTTGCTGTCTTCGTTAAGTATCATTAGTGTAAAAAGAAAATCAGTTTTTCTTCTGGGAAGTTATGTCACAAGGTTGTACATTTCACCAAGTATCCTATGATATAATTGATATGGCTGCTAATGAGTCCAAGGCCATGGGAATGGGATGGATTAGACCTATTTATGTGCTATAGTTCTAGGACCGGGGCTAGCATCCTATCAGATAGTGCTATGAGAGGCTGAGCTGGGTATCACAAAGGAAAACTAGGACTGTAACCAGGTCTACTGTGAATGTTGTGTAGATTGCATGGCTCAGCTCCAAAGGTCACAATTCACTTTGCAATGTATCTGGCATCCCTTGTGTACTTTACAACTTGTGCAAATGTATACAGTGACACTAGTTGTGACTTGGAGAAGGAATAATAAGGGCTTGAGAAGCAAAATACAAGTGTCCCCTGTTCTAATTACCCATGTTTGCTTATCTATTTGTTTCCAAAAGTCTTAAGAGGGTTCTTATGATCCTTACTCCTTTTTATGTCTCTCCTGTATATTTCTTTTCTCTGCAACCGTAGCTTTCAACTCTTTTTTTCCGCCTTGCTATGGCACATAACAATTTTCATATAAATTTGTACTTAGGATACATGCAATCATGAAGTGTGTTCAGGAACTCTACCCCTTTATCACTCATTTAAGAAAGCACATATTTGGACTTCTGATTATCATGGGCCTGCTGGGGAGTACAGTGGTCATAGTGAAGGGTGAGTCCCCCACTTCCCCATAGCAAGACAAGTAAAGTGGAAGATGCTTAGAGGATCACTTGTAGACTGTGTTATGGAGGGGCCTGCAAGAAAGAGTGATTGGCATTTCAGTATCCTAAATACTGATATTTATTTAGTATTAATAAGCTTAAGCAGCACACCTGACCTACTGCCTGTACCTGTCTACACAAGAGAAGAGCTAATGGGAGAGAGATGTCTAGGCAGAGACAGGCTGTGGTGGAGCAGCCTGCATTGCCCTGTATCAGGACAAGGGTGCAAGCATTTTCCAAGGGTTGTAGGGAGACAGCCTGCAGAAAGCAGCTATTTATTCAAGAGAGCCACCCCCTGACTAAAGATTCCCTGATACCAAGAGTCTGTGGGATCCATTAGTGCTGTGGGAGATGGGGACAGATGTGAAAGAAGTAAAGCCAAAACCAGACTTCCCAAAACTGGGAAAGGAGTTATGACAGCCCCACCAGGCCCTCCAAAGAAACCACACAGTAGTCTCAGGAGGGAAAGGGCAATTGGGCACCTTCCACACAGAAGATACCTATGGTGGTCATGCTGGTGAGCTGCCCAGATCACTATTTATAAAAGAACTCCTTAGCTGTGGGGAGTACAGTGAGCTGTGATAAGCCTTCTTGTACAGCTCCTCAGAATGCTTTTCTTGGGTAGTCCTCAGTCAGTGACAGAACACAGCAGAACACAATGGTCTGGCATCTCAGCCCCAGGCAAGATTTCTGTAATGTGCAGTCTTTGCTCCACAGCTGCCCATGAGTTGGCTAAGACATTGTCAGATCTACATCATATGCTGAGGTTCTCCCTGCTAGATTTTTATTCTCTCATCCTTTATTGTTTGCAAGTATTATGCCTACGCAAACTTCTTGACTCTTTTTTTTAATATTTATTTTTTAGTTACAGGTGGACACAATGTCTTTATTTTACATTTATGTGGTGCTGAGGATCGAACCCAGTACCCCACACATGCTAGGCGACCAGTACCTCACGCATGCTAGGTGAGCGCCCTACCTCTGAGCCACAACTCCAGTCCCCTTGACTCTTAATTCCATCTCAGCATCTGCTTCTTGGAGGACTTGAATTGGCAGAGCATCCTTGGCCAGGTAATATTTACCAGAGAAATGAAGGCAACCTAAATCCATACTTGAGTAGATAAAGGTAACTATCAATCCTCTTCTTTCACCTCTCAGTAAAGATCAGCAACTATACAAAGCCTAGAAGAGAGAGGGGAGAACTTGAAATTGGTGATGAAATAGATTTATTCTAAGGAGAGTAGAGAGCAGTTTTTGAATTACAAATTCCAAAGGTATAAAAAGGACACAATTTCCAGAGGGCAAGAAAAAATACATAGTCAAGAAATATAGCTCAAACACACATAGGTGCAACATGTTTATACTGGGTGGGGTTGAGCAATAAAGGATTTATGGTCATGAGTGAATAAATGAATTGAACAACTAGAGATTTCTGGCTCTTTAGTTTTAATCACACCCTAACATTACAAAAAACTTATTTCAAATCAACAGCCAATAAAATACTTAATGCTAAAATACTGAAAACATTTTCATTAAAATCAGGAGTGCAACAAAATGTCTACTGACTCCATTGTTATATGACATTATTCTGGAAGTTCTTACCAATGCAAAGATACATAAAACAGAAATATGATCAGTTAATAAATTATGACATTCATAAATGAAATATTTTATACATGCTAACATGATGTTTGCAAGAATTTTGAAGGACATGATAAATTTTAATATTATCATAAATGAAAATGTAGGATACAAAACTGTTTGTGGTCAAAGTTATCATCATCATAATGGGACAAATTGCCATCATGTGCTTCCCAGACATATACACTGAGAAGAATGAATTATTTCTACAGTGTTTTTGAAAAAAAAAAAAAGACAACTTGAATAGTCATTAGAAAATATTAGACAATTCCAAATTAAGGGACATTCTGCAAAATGAGTGGCCTTTATTCTTCAAATAGGTCAATATTAAGAAATACTTGCTGGGTGGGGTGGTGTACACCTATAGTCCCAGGGTTTTGGGAAGCTGAAGCAGGAGGATTGCTTGAGCCCAGGAGGAGTTGGAGATCCAGCTGGGCAACATAGTAAGACCATAAGACCCCATCTCAAAAACAATCACTAAGAAAGACTGAAAATTAAAAAGATACAACCAAATATGAAGCATAACCAAGGATTTTCTTTTGTTAAAAAGGACATTGTTGCAAGAATTGGTGAAATGTGGCAAAAATTATATAATAGTCTTGTATCAATATTAATCTCCTGATTTTGATCATTGTACTGTGGTTAATGCAAAACAATTTCTTCTTTTTAGGAAATACAGAATGAAGGGTTGAAGAGATGTAAAGGGGCATGCATCATCATATATCAAGGTACTCTAAAAAGGTTCACAGAGAGAGCAGAAGGATAAAAAGTCGAGCATGATATTTGTTTATTTGTATATTACAAATATGAAAGACTGGGAAGAAACATACCAGACTGCTATTTGTTTGTTTGTTGTGGTGCTGGGAATCAAACCCAGGACTTGTCCTTGCTAGGCAACACTCTGCCACACCCCAGCTCCTCTTTCCTTTTTCATTGTTTATATCAATATAATGGTCATCTAAAACTGACTTGCAAATGATTACCCATTTGCCTGTATCAATCATATAAGTAAAATGAACAATGAAGAGTTCTGATTTTATTTATTGGTACTGGGGATTGAACTCAGGTATGCTTTTCCACTGAGTTACATTCCCCCACTCCACCCCTCTTTTTTTGATACAGGGTCTTGCCAAGTTGCTGAGGCTGACCTTGAACTTGCAATCCTCCTGCCTCAGCTTCCTGAACTGCTGGAATTACAGCATGCACCATCAAGCTGACTAAGAGTTCTGATTTTAACTCTTCTCATGCATAGGAGAAAAAGCTAGATTTATAGATTATTAATTTTATATTTGGTTATACAAGAGCAACCTGAGTATTTTATATGTAATATATTGTTTCAATGTAATATATGCTTTTAAATGAAGGAAAGTACTGGATTACTAAGAACTATGAAATTTATGATTCTTTTTATATCAGACTTTTTATAGAGAAATATACTATGAAGGTTGCCTAGAACCTGGATTCCACAAAATCTAGGTTATAGATTTCCTATCTGTAAATCAACACCTTGATCTTTATGTGAATGCATTCCACCATAAGCCTTGTAATAAATTTAAAACTATGCAGGTTTTATATTCTTTTAAATAGAACTATAAAATCCTAGTGCAGATGTCATCAACTCAGCCTCATGCCTCTAGGCAAAAACCATAATTAAGTCATCCTAGACAGGTAATTGTCCATCCCAGTGAGAGTCTATAACATGTTCAGTAATCCTTTTCTATAATGATCTTTCACCAGAAACTTTTTTTACTATGTCTGATTTTGCTGTTTTCTTTCAGTTTAATCCCATTTCATTTGACTTTCTGCTACATACAGGAATTTATCCCACTGTGGAAGCTTATGCAATAAATGTCCTTATGTCATCATTTATTTATTGATTGATTGATTGATACCGAGGATTCAACCCAAGGGCATTTAACCACTAAGCCACATTCCCAGCCCTATTTTGTGTTTTATTTAGAGACAGGGTTTCGCTGAGTTGCTTAGGGCCTCGCCAAATTGCTGAGACTGGCTTTGAACTCACAATCCTCCTGCCTCAGCCTCCTGAGCCGCCAGGATTATGGCATACATCACCACACCCTGCTCATCATTTCCTTTTACCATCACCCCAATGAGAAAAACATTACTTTTTTTTTTTAAGTGGATAGATTGCACAATTCCTAAGATACTGCAATACCATGTTGATGTGTGGTGTGGAGTGGATGGAGCAAGCCCTTATTCCATCTCTCTGCTCTAAAAATCCACTTAATATATTGTCCTCAGATGGAGGATGTATCAGATGTTAAACTGATTAAGAGACAGTATACATGATCTTAGCCAAAAGGCTGAGAAGCTATTGGCCAAACTATATTGTTATATTGTGTGCATATATGAATACGTAACAACAAATACCATCATTATGTTCAACTATATTGCACAAGTTTAAAAATGTGAAAAAATTTTAAAATAAAGAGAATATTTTTAACATTTTGCCATTTAAAATAAAGTTTGCTGTAAATAAACCAAAAAGATTTAGAAGCTATCATTGACATGATTTAGTAAATTTAGGTTCTAACCCTAATGATTATTTTCCTTATATCCACTACATCATCAGCTTCCAAATGTTTTTATTATTTATTTATGTTACTGGAATTGAGCCTAGGGGTGCTTTACCACTGAGCCACATCCCCAGCCCTTTTTATTTTTTATTTTGAGACAGAGTCTCACTAAGTTGCTGAGAACCTTGCTAAATTGCTGAGACTGGCCTTGAAGTTGCAGTCCTCTTTCCTCAGCTTCCCCAGTCACTGAGATTACATGGGTAGCCACTAACTACCAGCCCAAATATTTTTAAATAAACTTGATTGAGATATAACTTACATACAATAAAATGCACATATTTTAAGTATACTGTTCAATGAGTTTCAATAAATGTTTGTATCAGCTGGGCACTGTGGCACATGCCTGTAATCCCAATGACTTGGGAAGCTAAGCCAGGAGGATTGCCAAAAACATTACTTTATATTCATCATAAATGTTATTTGCACATATTAACTATGTTTTTTTCTATTTTATCAGAGTATAATGATTGTCTATTACATCACTCATTTAATTGATATGTGTAAATGGTGCAAAATTTTGACAAAACAAAAACATGGCCTTCATGCATTTATATGTAATTTCTGACCATATTAGATGATAGTAATTTGAGTTCATACAAATGACATACATTGAGTAAATTATCAAGAATGTTGAAATGTACATAGATCAGAGAAAATCATCACCCACTGTTGTCTGCGTGATAATAGTGACCTTTCATTTTACTGATGTTGAATGGTAGCTGGAGTCTGGCACAATATTTAGGATTGAGGGTAGAAACCTGCACAAACATTCCTGTCACCATGCTGCATCTCCCATTCATAAAATACTCTTTAACTGGGGGTAATGTAGTCTCTTATCTGTCTGGACAGCATGCTGCTCCGCAGTCTCTCTCCCTTCCAGACTGAGCCATTTGTAGTTCCAGATTACCTGACTTGTATGTGCAAACAGGAATGAGTTCTTATCAAAGCAGATTCGTTTGAAAGATGGGGAAATATCCAAGATACCAGGCATATGGGCAATGGGGGATGTCAAGAAACAAGACTCAAAGGGACATACAGTGAAGGGCCTTGTCTACCACACCAGAAAGTTTGGGTTTTATCCTTAAGACAAATTAATTGAAATATTATGCAGGGAAATTGGAGACACATTATGCAGATTTAGATTTTAGAATGTGTTCCACAGGACAGCAGTGGAATTGGAGGGATGAGGGGGCAGGAGTAGGAAGAATGACAAACGTTCCGTCTGAGGCAACGCTGCAGGAATGAAGTGAAAGGGGCAGAACTGAGTTTTGTTTTGTTTTTAATGGTGCTGGGGATTGAATCCAGGGCCTAGTACATGCTTGGGTAGTTGATTGAATATGGAAGGAGAATAAATAATAAGGATGACACCCCATTTTGTTTATTTTTATTTTTTAATATTTATTTTTAGTTGTAGTTATTTTATTTATTTATGTTTTTGAGGTGCTGAGGATTAAACCCAGGTCCTTGCGCGTGCTAGGTGAGTGCTCCACCGCTGAGCCACAACCCCAGCCCAACGCCCCATTTTAGATTTACACCTTGACACTACGTGGTGATGCCTGGGGTTGCAATGCAATGCTGCCTTGTTAAGTTATTCCATTTAGAGTTTCCTCATTGAATCAGACATGATTCTGATTGATAGAAACCATCTCTGGCTATCATAAGTTTAAAAAAGTAATTATGGAAAGTGTCGTGAGAGAGCATATTATTATTTAATTTCTATATTTTTTTTTCCTTTTTACCCAGTAGTACAGCACTTGGGACATGATCTATGAGAATAAAGACCACATTTCTCAGCTTCCCTTGCAGCTAGGTCCGAGCATGTGACTAATTTCTGATTAATGGAATATAAGTGGAAGTAGTGCGTGCAAGTTCCTGGACTTATCCTTAAAGGACAGAAGCGTACACTTCTTCCTTTTATCCCCTCACATGTATGACAGCTTGGTTTATATTTTAAAGGTGGCAAAACAGAAATCTAGGAAGCCCTCTGGGTTCCAAATGACTAAGGGCCACTATAGCATCATAAAAGCCTCTAACCAAACTATTATGTGAAAGAGGCATACACTTGTACTTTGTTTAAGTTCCCATTATTTTTGGTTTCTGTTACATGAAATTGCATCCATATCTCCATATGTGAGTAGGCATTAGGGACTTACCAAAATGAAAGATGGCTTGAGAGCTTGGAAAAAATTGGATTCAGGTAGCCATGGAGGTGAAATACCAGAGACTGCATAGTCTCAGCACCATGCTATTGCTGCTGAGAGCAATCCAATCCCAGATTTCCCCAGTCTTTGGGTCACTCATTCAAAATGCAAAATCCTGGTATTTTATTGCCCAAGTCAGGACATGTGTCTATTCAGCAGAGGGCAGCTAGAAGACTTTGTGGTTCCGTGGGTATCTGCATGGGGACGTGTGTGCTGGGGGACCTACACAGAAAGGGGAAAGAAAGAAGAGTAGGATGCTGGACAGCCAAAAAAACCCAACAGATGTCCATTACATTCAACTTCCCCTTATTTCTACTGAATCAAGGCAAATTAAGAGAAGCCATTGTGAGTTACTTTTGCATTTTACTTAAAACTTCTATTTTAGTGAATCCATTTTGCCATAAAGCATTGCAATTTTCTTTCACAATATCCTTACTTTAAATGGCACACATTTATCATTTCTTTTTCTAAATTCTGTTGTAAGCAAAGATATTCACAAGCTGCTTATAGTACTCATATGCTGTACCCTCCTTTTTGGCAACAGCATCATGAAAAATAATGGCAACATTGTATAAAAGCTACAATCAAAATTCTTTCTTTGGATCTTGAAAATACTTCTTAAGGATAGCAAGAGTATTTTCTATGTATAAAAAGAAATTCTTAGCAACTAAAAAGTTATTAGTATTCTTTCAAAAGCCAGTATCAGTCCTGGCAATCTTGTATTTTAACGCGACATTTTTATTGCATTTCAGGGAAAAAGAATCACAAAGAATTCAACTTCTTAATTTATTTGAAAGACAAAACGTTGAACTATTTCCTGTCATCAGGATGGGACTAAGATGCCATCGTTAAAAATGAACATACATTTTTAAAAACGAGGTCAATCTCATTATTGTTCTATTGCAATTATCTGACAATTTGGGGAAAATGATTGTTAATACTTATTTTTTAAATGCCTTCCAAATTAGCAATATTAGTTGAGATTCCAATAATTTATAAATAAGCCTTATCCTTGCTCAAAATCTGTGAAGAAACTATTCACAGTCACACCAAGTAAAAGATCATGTGTGTCTGTGTGTGTGTGTGTCTGTGTGTGTGTGCACCCTACTACTAAGCTACATTCCCAGCTCCCAAACACCTAGTTTTGTAACTCCAGGATTTTCATTAAATACTTCACAGAGATAGGAACAAGATTTCCCATTCTTTTCTCCTTTTCTGTCCTTTCATTCCTCCCTCCTGCTCATTGCTCATCCAATTCTGACTAACTAGTTAAACACGAAGTTTTGCACTTTTTTTTTTTTTTTTAGAGACAGGTCTTACTAGGTCTCACTATGATGCCCAGGCTGACCTCAAACCTCTTGACTCAAGAGCTCCTATCACCTCAGTCTTCCAAATCTCTGGTGCGATCACTGTGGCCATGACATCTTTGCACTATTTCTAATGAAAATTCATGTGACTTGTTGGAAGAAGTTTTTGGTAATCATTTACTATGCATATGAAAAATGTAAAGAATGTGGATTAATCCTTTTATTACTCTTTGAAGAGCTAACATTTGTTTGTGTTTTATGTTCTATTATGCAGTTATAGCGGCTTTGACCACTGGTTCCATTTAAACAGAATCACTTTTTAGACAGGCTTTTCACAATGAAGAACAAGAAGCTGCAAAGTTGGTAAAATACTTATTTTTAAAAATTGACTACATGAAATATTGTCAGATTATTCACCACAAGCAACATTTATTTCACTTGTAACAAAAATTGTACCAAATATTGTACCAAAACATGGATTTAGAATTTGAAGAAGTAATGCATGCATATGATAAAAAATTAAAACACAAAATGGTATACAATAAAAGTCTCCATGCTTCAGCTGTATCACCCAGTCAGATAATTCCCCTTCCTCAAAACACTATTCCCAGTTTTATGTATATCACTGCGGATATTATCTATGCATATACCAAGACATTAAAAATATTCTTTTTTTTCCTACAAATATACATTACTAAACACACATTCTTTACTTATCCCTTTTTTCCCTATATACCTAGGAAGTGATTATATTAGTTGTAAATTAAAGATGGCTGCAAAAATCCTGGTCATTCTCCTCATAGAGTTCATTTCTCCTCCTCCTGAATTTGTGTGGCCCTGTGACTCTTTACACAATCAAATGTAGCAAAGTAACACTATGCCAGCTTTAAAAGGACTGGCAGCTTCTGTTCCCAATCTCTTGGAATTGCTCTTGAAATGCACATTCTGAGAGAATCTAGTCACCCTCTAGTCACCAGTGTCAGAAGTCCTCCACACTGTGAGGAGGCCTCATAGAGGTTGCCTGGAGAGAGACATTGATTCTTGCTAGTTCTCAGCTGTTCCATGTGCTCCAACCAACACACAAGACAACCTGAGTGAAGAAGCCCTCTTGGACATGCATCCCAAGAGAGCCTTCCAATGACTCCTATCGCAGCTACCATCATATGGCAGAAAGATTCCAGAAGAGAATTGCCCAGCCTAGCAAACCAATCCACAGAACTAGGAGAGAGCA